TTTTTTTTTTTTTTTTTTTTTTTTTTCTTGATATTTATTGTTATATAGAAACATGACTAATGTAATAAATGGGATTCAAAAGGAAGAAAGTAATGTTTACTTAAATGAAATTAGACAAAACGCAAAAAAATATAACTGGTTAGAAAAAACAGAAAAAAACAACTGTTACGTTTTTTCTAAAGACAATGTAAAAATAAATATTATTGGATTAAAGGGGCTAGCAACAATAGAAGTACAATTGATAAATGGAGTTCATTATAAAATGTGTAGAAGTAATATAAGGAAAGAAGAAATATCTGATTTATTTTCTAACACAAATTACAATTCCAGTAACGATTTGTTAAATAAAACAATATTATGTAACTATAATTTAACTGTAAAAGAAAAAATAGAACTTTTTAATAAAAATGATAGATCATTTTTAAAAAACGTAAAATATAAAGATATTTTTATTGGTGGCAATAAAAATTTATACAAAGCCTCTGAAACAAAAACAAAAATAAGAAATAATATTGTTACTCATAAAAATAATGAAGAATTAAAAAATGATTATATATATTTATGTAATGAAAACAAAAATGAAGTAAATATTCCTATTAAAATAGAATTAATAGAAAATATTACATCTAATAAAAAGGAAATGGATAATATAAGTAATATTTCAAATCAAGATATTTATGCTAATAATGAAATCATTTGTTCAAGAAATGAAATAGATATACCAAGCTATTTAAAAGAAGTAAATTTTTATAAAAATAAAAATGAAAAAATTATTATAAAACAAAGTAATAAAAAAATTGGACATGAATCAAAAAAAACAAAAAATAAAAAAATATTATTTTCTTCAGAAGAAAAAAAAAAAAAAAAAGAAAGTGAAGAAAATAAAAATAGGAATTGCGAATATGTTAAAAAAAAAACATACTTAAAAGAAAAAAAAGATGAGTGTGATAAGAACTTAATAATTGACAGCAAATCAAATGAAATAGGAAAAATTAATAAAAATAATGACATTGATATTATTGAAAAAACTACTTTAAATAAAAAAAAAAAAATAGAAGAAGGTAATGAAAATAATAAAAGAGAGGAGTGTAGACAGAAAGATAAAAAAAAAGAAGAAAAGAATGAGAAAGATAAAGAAAAAGGAAATAAAAAAGAAGATAAAAAAGAAGAAGAAAAGAATGAGAAAGATAAAGTAGAAGGAAATAAAAAAGAAGATAAAAAAGAAGAAGAGCAAGAACATGAAAATCAAAAATATGAAATTAATAATGGAGAGAATGAAGAACAAAAGAAAGGACAACAGAAACAATTGAGAAAAATTCAGTTAAAATGTCCAGAGAATGTTCATAGAAAGTATGAAAAATTAGTATATTCTTATCAAAACAACTATGCAGAACACGGAATTAAATATGATAAAAAAAAAAATAAATTAAAAAATATAAAAATTTCCAATAAATACAATAAAAATATTTTTGAAAAATTTAACAAAAATACAAGGAAGGATCATTACAAGGATTTTCATAAAAATTATTCTGATAAAAAAAATATAATAAATAATATTAATAATTTAGATATTCTTCATAATAACAAGTTTAATAATTTTAATAATACATATAATTCTTTTCTTAATTATAGGAATATAAGGGATAAAAATTACAATTCTAATTTTAATAATTTCATTTATAAAAATATATATCAATCTAATTCTCTTAATATTTATACTCTTAATGGATATAATTTAAAAAATAATATTATACATAGTGCTGGAATAAATCATAACGATTTATTAGTAAAAGAAAAATTAAGTGAATGTAATAGCATGATTTATTACAACATATATAGAACAAATTATAATAATAATTACTTTATTGATTATTTTAATAATAACAATAGGAACTATAATGAGAATTTTAACATGAATTATAATAATGGTTGTGGCATAAATTTTACTGATTATAATGATATTAACTATTGTAACAATTATTATACTACTAATAATGATTGTAATCAAAATAATATTATCACTAATAATAATTACAATATGAGTAATCAAATTAATGCTAACACGAATACTACTTGCAATAATAATACTAACAATTACACTAACAAAAGCAATGTTAATAATAATATTAACAATACTAATACAAATACTAATAGTAATGACAATTATATTCATTATACTAATAGCAGCATTCTAAGTTATTCTATCAATCATAACATTAATTGTATTAATGGAGATAATTTCAATTATAATAACAGGAATATCATAAATGACTCTAAAAAAGTGAACTATGGTAGTATTATTAATAATCAGAATTATCATATAAATAAAATAAATGCTTTTAATCCATATTTACGAAGCAATTATTTAAACAAGTATAAAATGAGTCATAAAGAAAAATGCATAAAAGAAAATTCACGATGGTATATGTATAATGTGGAAAACCAAAATAATGTGAAAAATTTTAATGAAAATAAAAAAATATGGAGAAACATATATCATCATAGAGGTAAAATAGCCAGCAAAAATAATTATCGTAATTCATTATATAATAATATAGCATATAATAAAAATTACTTTAATTTAAATAATTACTTATATTTAAAAAAAAAAAAATATAATATGAATTACAATAATTACTACAATTACTATGATGTTACTGAAGATATGATAAATTCTTCATATTTTTCTAATAATGTTATTAATAATTTTTGTCATTTACAATTATATAACAAGAAAAATAGAAAAGGTTATCATAAAAATATGAAATATAGAAATTTTTGTGAATCATATAAAAAAAGCAATAACATACATTATAACAATTCCATAACAGGTTGTGATAAAAATGTGTTAAATAAAAAATATATAGATGTATTTTCAAACGGAAAGAAATTTAATAAATTTCAAAGAAATTATAAAACGAAATATATCAAAAAATTACATGATAAAAATAATAATGATAAATTTAAATCCACCAAATTTAATAAAATTAAAAAAAAAAATCAGATAAATAATGTTCAAGAAGAAATACATAAAAAAATATCCTATTTAAAATACTTTAAACATGATCCTACTAATTCACTACCAAGATACTACTGTACATTGAAACATTTATTAAAAGAAAATAGTAAGAAAAAAATAGACACTTGGTTAAAAATTATGTTGACTAAAAAGAAATGTGGCTACTGTAATGAAAAATTCGATAACTTAGAAAGTTTAGAAAATCATTTAATACAAATAAAAACACATAAAGTTTTTTATTGTTGTAAAAAGCCCTTTCCTTCAATAAAATATTTGCATATACATCTTAAAAGAGAAAATCATTATGGTTATATTTATTATTATTAGTTTTATATTTTTTTTTAAAATATTAGTATTCTTTTTCTTATAGCATTTTATCATTCATTAAATATATATGCTTTTTTTTTTTTTTTTTTTTTAGCACCTTATTTACTTTTTTAATATCATATTTATTTGATTTATTAATATCTTTTACTTTTTTTAATTTTTTATCTTTTTTTTCGGTACTTATTTTTTTCATCATATTTTTATTACCCTTCTAATATCTCATTATATTTTTTTTTTTTAAAAATTATTTTATTAATATAATATTATATCTTTTTTCTTTGTTTAATGTCTTTTTTTTAATTCCTTATTTTTTTTTTTTTTTTGTTAATTCTAATGTTATATTTTATCATATTCTTTTTATCATTATTCTTATATATTGTCCTTTTTTTATAACGAATAAATTAATTTTTTTTTTTTTTTTTGTGATCTCATAATATTAAAATGAATTTTTCCTAAAACATTTGTTAAAAAAAAAAAAAAAAAAAAGAAAAATTTACTTATTTTAAAGGAATAAAAAAAGTTCTTTCTCTTCTTAGATGTACTTTCATATTATTGAAAACAGAAAAATAATGTATTAAAATTTTAAGAGAAAAAGAATTTTAACATAAAAATGATAATACAAAAATTATTCATATTTGTAACAAAATTATAACATTATTGTTTTTTTAAAAAAATAAGAAATCTTTATAAAAATGATTCACAATTACATATATGAGAAAAAAATAAAATAAAATATTATGGCAAAAATAAGAAAACAAAAATTGTTTTTTAATAATATTTTTATAGTTTATTATAAAATTCACTGTTTTTAAAAATATTTAATTTCAACATTATATCTTTTTAAAATATATAATAATGTTTTTCAAATTCTTAATATTTAAAATAAAATTATTTACCTTATAAAAATAGATACAATTTAAATAAATTTTAGTTTTATGATAAAATTTTTCAGATTTTGATAAGAAACAAAACTTAATATATTAAAATGTTTCAATTTCACTTTTTAATTTCTTTTACGAAAATTCAAAAAAAATATATATGTATATAAAAAAATATAATTAACATTATTGTGATCAACGTATTTTTCTTTTTCAAATTACATTGAATATATATTTTTTTTTTCATTTATTAATTACTTTTTTGGTTCTATCATAATTCTATAATAACTAATTTCAATTTTTTTTTTTTTTTTTTTTTTCAATAATATAAAATAAAACTTTATAAAATTAGCATAATTTAAAATTCCTTAATATTTAAAATTTTTTTTTTTTATTAAACATAAAATATGAATAGCCAGAATTTTTTAGAAAGCAAATTTAATAATATATCGTATAATACATATGAAAAAGACAAAAATTTAGAAGATTATATGAAGGAAGTTGTAACTCCTTTAGGTGACACTTATATAATAAACGAAAAAACTAATGAAAAATTCATTAAAGCAACTCAAAGAAGTGATGGAACGTTTAGAAAAACTATTCGTGTAAGAAGCGATTATATGCCACAAGTAAAAATAAAAATATAAAATATAATCTATTTTTTATTTTATTTTTTTTTTTATTAATGTTCGTAGATTTTTTTATAAATATTATTTTATTTTATCATTCTGTATGAATCTAATATTTATAAAAGGATACTTTTTTTTGAAATTGATTTTCTCTAATAGTTTAATCATTTTTATTCATATTAATCTTTTTTAACTCAAATAATTTTGATAATATTTCTCTATAATTTACATAATATTCTAAATAGAAAAAAAAAAAAAAAAAAAAAAAAAAAAAAAAAAAAGACAATCATTTTAAATATAATAAGATTATAATCTTTAACAATAAATAAGAGAAAAATATATTTAATATAAAAAAAAGATAATAATAACAAATTAAAATTTCGATATGCTAATAACAATTCAAAATAATATTCATTTATTATTTGTAAAATGCAATATAAATATTTCTTTTTTTTTTAAATTCTAGGAAGAAAATTGTGTGTATAAAGTTAAAGGAAAACTATTAGAAGAACAAAATAAAATTATAAATACAAGTAAAAATTTAAATACTAATACAAAAGTAGAAAATACAAAAAAAATTCCAGGATGGAACCCTGTAAATGAACATGAAAACACAACCAATATAAAAAAAAAAAAAAAAAAAAAAAAAAA